AGTATATGGGGTAATGACCCCTGAGGTCATCCCCACCATCTGAAACTTCAAATGATCATATATATATATATATATATATATATATTGATTGATTGCTTGATTGATTGATTGTATATTGTTTTACGTCCCATTCGAGAATTTGTTCATGTCAGAACAAGGTATTGCTTTGTATTCATGAACGACCTGAGGGCTGGGAAGGGGGAACAGGGGAAGGAGTTATGTCTGCATGGTCTTAAATGTTGTAAACTACTGTTTGTGAATATTAACCCCATTTCCTTCTTGTCATCTTCATTTATTGACCTCACAACATACATGTTTATTAATTCAATAGATTATGGACTTTTTGATCATATGCTTAGCTCTCCCTTGAATCAGCAATGGTGATATAAATATTTTTAGAATAGTTAAGGGTTAAACAGGTATTGCACAATCTCTTAAAATTGATTAAGCTCTGTAGTTGAATTATCTATACCAGTATAGCTTGATTTTGCTATTCAAAACACCTTGATGAAGTTATTTAATCATACTTTATTTCAAAGTTGTGCAGTTTTATTAACATGGATAAAAGTCACATTATAAATGTTGACATGGTATAAATTCGAAATTTTCAGCTTTGAGCTGTTCTGAAAGAATAAATGAAAAAAAATGCTTTTTAAATAATGTGTCTCCTTCCGAGCATTTGCGATCACAAGTTTATTTAGTTTTGTATGGGGTTGTTTACTTGGGATAATCTCTCTCATCTTCTCTTTCTCTCTTTCTGACATCTACTTGGGCCTAAAATTGAAATGGAATTATAGGTGAATTTTTTTTAAAATTGATTGACTTTTACACTAATTAACTCATACTGCAGCTTTGGAATAATATCCCTCCCAGAAATGTAAAAAATAAGTTTACTCACTATCTTGTCTTTGATCTACATCTAATTTCAAAAGGACACAGCCAGAAGTCTTTTCTCGTGGTTTGTAACAGATTTCACATGGAACTTCTATTTTTCAAAATCATGTAAGTTCCTGTGACTTAAATCCATTAGAATTAAAACACATGACAGTCCTCCTGCTTTGAGTAGGCAGATATAAGCTAAAATGTTGAAAAGTACTCACTATGAATAATCACCTGACCTTTTGAAGACAGCTAGGTAAACATACCGTTAAAGGTATAATTATCATACATAGGCCAGTGCAAAATTGAACTATCAGGATTGATTCATCATTATCATAGTTAAAATAACAAGAAACACAATAGAAATGTGATGAAATATTTAGCAACAAAAAGAGTTTTATTTCATGAAAAACATTTCTTGTCTAAAACAATGTTGTTTTCATCATATTTATTTTTTCACAATTTTATCTTCTCAAGAACCGCTGGACCATTTTAAACTACCTCAAAATATCCTTGGGCAAAGGGGAGTTAAATTTGTTAAGATTATTCAAATGAATGATCAACCCTCTTTCAAGGGGAGAGCAAGGGAAGATAAGAATGAGTGAAAATTTAATGGCACATTTTAAAAATCTTTTCAAGAACCACTGGGCCAGAAGTTTTAACTTATGTGAAACTTCATTACATAGTGTAGATCCAAGTTTGTCCAAATCATGGCCCCCAGGGGTAGGGTGGGGCCACAATAGGAGATCAAAGTTTTACATGGGAATGCGTGTACATGTATAGGGAATAAACCTTCAAAAATCTTCTCAAGAACCATTTGGCTTTAAATTTGAAACTTATGTGAAAGTTCATTACATAGTGTCGAATTAAAATATTCTTTCAAAACTTTACTCCTCCTACAGTTTTGGTCGGATTTCATTAAAACTTGGTACACAAGTAGACTATACTAAGATACATAATTCTCTGTGTCGATCTTTGATTTCAATGAACAGTGTTGCAATGGTTACTAAAAATAGATAATTTTGTGAAATTCATTCAATCGGCTACTCCTCCTTCAGTTTTGGTTCAGTTTCAAAAAGACTTGGTCACAATTAGTCTATAGTAACTTACAACTTGACTAAGTTTTATCGTTTTTGAATTTCGATGAACAATATGTTGCCATTGTTACTAAAAGTAGAATTACTAACAGTAGAAATTTATGAAATCTATGAAATTTATTAAAAATGCTACTCCTCCAACAGTTTTGGTCCGATTTCAATAAGACTTGGTACACAAGTACACTATACTTAGATACAGATTGATAATTTTTTTTTTTTCATCGGTTTTTTGATTTCAAAGAACACTATTGTTGGAGTAAGTTAAAATGGCAATTGAAGAAAACAAACAGTGGTCGACCAATTTGATTTTTTTAAACGGCCTACTTGGTGTAGAAGTAGAATATACTAAGATTGATTATTCTTTACAACAGTTTTTGATTCTGACATAAGGGTAATCCCATGGATGCTAAAGATAGAAATTTCTTTGAAATTCATTTGAAATGCTACTCCTAAAACAGTTTTGGTCTGATTTTATTAAAGTCTTGGTGTTCAAGAAGACTATATTAAGATAAGACAATCTTATATATCAGTTTTTGATTTAAAAAAAAAATTGTGTTGCCATGGTTGCTTAAAATAAAATTTAAAAAATTCTTTATAACACTAATCCCAAAGATACATCTTTATTACCAGTACATACCAGTAGGGTAGGACTGGAATGATTCAAATTCTTCTATATCGATATGTCACATGATATGATACGCATCAGGATAGAATGAATTGGTTATTATATCTTCTTTTTGTATTGAAATGAAAAAAAAATATTTCTTTACAAATAAGAATAATTTATTTATGGAAGGTGGAGAGAGAGAGAGAGAGAGAGAGAGAGAGAGAGAGAAATTATATATATTGTAAAACAAAGTTATTTAACAAAAGTGGTGTTATGAATTTCATGCTTAAAATGTAAGAGGAGTTCTGGGAACCAGAGGTTTGTTTTGTAAAAAAAAAAAAAAAAAAAAAAAAAAAAAAAAAAAAAACATTGTTTTTCAACTCTCATTTGACCCCTGAGGTGAAAATCAGAATCCATAACCTTATTGCACATCCACAGGACACAACCAATGATATTTTAAAAGATGATTAGGCTACTGCGTAAAATGTAAGGGGAGTTCTGGGAACCAGGGCTTTTTTTTTTTAATAAAATATGTCATTTTTCGACTCCTATTTGACCCCGAAGGTGACAATAAAAATTCCGAAACTTTTTTGCACAGCTACAGGACACCACCAATCATCTTCCAAAAACGTATTAGGCTTCTGCGTTAAATGTAAGGGGAGTTCTGGGAACCAGGGCTTTTTTCAAATAAAAACATCATTTTTCGACCCCAATTTGACCCCCAGAGTGAAAATGAAAATTCCGAAACCTTATTGCACATCCAGAGCACACCACCAATCATCTTCCAAAAGATGATTAGGCTACTACGTAAAATGTAAGGGGACTTCTGGGAACCATGGTCTTTTTGTATAAAAAAAAAAATATCATTTTTCGACCCCCATTTGACCCCGAAGGTGAAACTGAAAATTCCGAAACTTTACAGCACATCCACAGGACACCACCAATCATCTTCCAAAAGATGATTAGGCTACTATATGAAATGTAAGGGGAATTCAGGGAACCAGGGCTTTTTTGTATAAAAAATGACATTTTTGGACCCCCATTTGACCCCCAGGGTGAAAATGAAAATTCGGAAACCTTATTGCACATCCACAGGACACCACCATCTTCCAAAAGATGATTAGGCTACTGCATAAAATGTAAGAGGAGTTCTGGGAACCAGGGGCTTTTTGTATTAAGAAAAAAAAAAAATTTTTCGATCCCTATTTGACCCCCAGGGTGAAAAATGAAAATTCCGAAACCTTATTACATATCTACAGGACACCATCAATCATCTTTCAAAAGATGATTAGGCTACTGCATAAAATGTAAGAGGAGTTCTGGGAACCAGGGTCTTTTTGTTTAAAAAACGTCATTTTTCGACCCCCATGTGACCCCAGGGAGAAAATGAAAATTCCGAAACCTTACGATAGATGATTTAGGCATGATTGTTTATATTCGAAACGACAAGAACTACTGTTCTTACAATGTTACTGAGTTTGCTCCGTGGTTACAAAACATGTTCATTTTAGAAATAAATAACATGACTTCTATTAAATCACCTGGAATGAAACTCCATACATCGACAAAATAAATATTAATACATTTGATAATGTGCTCATTTTTAAATTTCTTGAAGATAGTATAAACGAAGATAGACATTATCCGCGAACTTTCTGAACAACCCTCGTATTTCTATCGATTTATTTTTAAATGTTTTCAATCCGCGTTTACCAATATCTGGTCATTTATATCGATAATCATGCTCAGAATGTGTTACAAAAATACACTTTAAATAAAAATTTAAGTACAATTCATCGTATTTATTAAATTTTATAATTTTTTTATTTTTTTATTTTTTTAATAAAAATCCTTATCATTTTATTTTATTTTAAATCTAGATTCTAAATTAATATTTTCCTTATTCTTAAAATATTTTTCTTTGTGTTCTCATTCAGTAATGAAAAAATTTTTTTAAAAAAATGAGATGTCACACACAAATAATAGATTATTTGATGAAGTGAATAAGTATGTTTCGTGGAAGTACAATATAAATTCAATTTTTGGAATAATTAACATGTTGATTTTTTTTCGTTGATATTTTACCAAGTTAATAGCAGAAATAACAATATCATCATTATCTTATGTTACGATAGATGATTTAGGCATGATTGTTTATATTGGAACGACAAGAACTACTGTTCTTGCACATTGCTTGACGGGAAGGAATACCCCCGTTTGAGGGTTAATTCCGTTTTGGGGGGTTCGACTAGACTGGCAAATAGGGCATTGCTTAATCAAAATACTTTGATCTCTCTCTCTCTCTCTCTCTCTCTCTCTCTCTCTCTCTCTCTCTCTCTCTCTCTCTCTCTCTCTCTCTCTCTCTCTCCATGTGTCTATATTTGATATGCTGTGTTGTTGTTTTGTTTTTTTCTCAGACTAATCCATTTTATGGGATTTACAACGATCAACCACCAAAGCCCTACAAAAATCCATCTAATAAGTTCGGACACTCAAAAGGTATTTACCATTTTTGAATGTATTATTCGTGTTTTCTAATTTTATATGATTGCTTTTAGCATTTTTGATAAATAAAGAGAGATATATGTGCCTTACGTTAATTTGAAATCATGATGATCATCACGATGAAATTAATTATCGGTAAGATAAGAGTTTTCTGTCTGTGAACATTTCATTGAACAAATATGATATTGACGATGAAATGGCTAGAGACCTTATCAATTCTGATTTATTCAAACATAAAAAAAAAACTTCCCATATCTTGCTTAAAATACAGACTGAAGATAAATAAGTTGCCATTGATTGCAGTATTTACATATACACGCAATGGGTTCTGGCCACAGATATGGATCTTTTTACCAAAAAAAAAGACTCAGGTGAAAAGTTATATTTTAAGTATGTTATTGTTTGGTTCATCATTTCTAAATAAACTAGATATATCCTTATTCAACTGAAAACTACAAACACAGACACACTACAAAATAAAATAAAGTAATAATAATATTATTAAGGACAGATGATACAAACAAATTTTTATCAAAAATTTTGAAAATAACCACTTTAGTCATGATTACATGAGTAAAATGAATAAGTTTAACCGCATAGATTTTAATTTTTTATTACAAATTTCACAATTACATGTATGTGATTTTAAGCGACAAAAAAGTGTATAGATTAATAAGGAGGATTGCAGAAAGGTAGAATTTTGAACATCAAAGAAAAATTACTAATTCTTAATATTTTAGAAATTTATTACTTTCATCATTTACAATCGAAATAGGTCCAAAAATATATACTAATCCAGGCATCCAATTTTTTGTTTGTGTCATCTGTCCTTAATTAATAATAACAAGCTTATTCAGGTAGTTTGTGCCCCCCGCTTAAGAAATAATGAAAGGGGTGAAAGAAGTAAATTAATATGCAATTGGTGAAAGTAAAAAAGATCAACTTTGACCTTTCAACTTTTGGGCTTTAAAGTCAGCAAAGATCTTTTGAGGAGGTTGGATCCAGCTATCAAAAGTCTTAAGAATTGTTGTTAAGTGTATTTATAGTATAAAGCTTAATCAAAAGAAAAAGAAAAAAGAACATATAGGTCAATCTGCTTCTTTTGGTGCTACGATGTAATTAATTTGACCTTTTTGCACTGTAATGGCGTCTTATACACAAATATCTTTAAGTTTTCTTCCAATATTTTTTATCCGAATAAATCGTGGGACCAAATGCAACTTCATTCTTGAATCAAAGCGTTTAAAATTCTGACAAAGAAAAAATTTCAAATAAATTCGAATAATCAATTATTTGCCCTTCCTACACTCACAAAATTTCATTTTTCTAGCGTTAAATATTTAACAAGCAATAAATCATTTAAATATCTTTAGACTTTACTGCATTTAAGAAGAATAGTCAAAATTATCTTATATATTCAGAAAAAAAAATTGAAAGTTAGGGTCTTTGACGTAAATTTTTAGATATTACTAAAATTTTTCATTTAAAACTAGGATTAACAAACACATTAACCTTTTCTTTATATGTGGAGATGGGGGGGGGGGGGGAATCCTATCATATCATTGACGAAACGTGGATTGTATTGTTATTGTCCATCTGAAAACGTCATTGATATTTATATATATTTACACATATATAAAGGATAAGGTGGTGTATGTATTATTCATATCTTTCATGTCTACTATTTTTTCTTGTCCATATTAATATTTTGAAAGAGATTATACATAATCTTTGAAGGATATCGTATATCTTATTATTGAGCTTTCATGTAAAAATGATTCTTTTAAACGAGGTTGGTTAAAGTATAAACATTTCTCTTTTCAGGAATCTTTTCTTTTTCTGTCCAATCTGGATTTTGGATAATCTCTAGTATACCAAAATTCCCATCTCTGACATATCGGTATGCAAAGGAGCAAACATCTAAAGGCCAAATATGTTTATGTGTTTCCATCGGACTGGATTTATGGAATCACATGGGTATCTCTCTCTCTCTCTCTCTCTCTCTCTCTCTCTCTCTCTCTCTCTCTCTCTCTCTCTCTCTCTCTCTCCTACATTAACAATGAAACTGAAGAGGAAAAAGAGGAAAAACTAAATTCGTTAATAAATTTTACTTATTTACTTTTTCATTACAGATAAAAGATAAATTATATCTTGGCAATGTTGGCTATTTACATTTATCCTTTTTTTTCCTATTAAAACAAGGAAAGCTTGCAATGCATGCTAATTATGAAGAGTATGTAATGTATCAACAACCAATACAAGCCCGACATGAATTGATACATCAAAAGAACAAGAGTAAATTACGTACATAACTGTTTCCTAAATTACAAATACATGTGTGAACATGCTTTTGCATGATCTAACTCTATTGCGAGTCGAAAGTTTTTGTTTTTTTTTATTTAAAGCTAGAATCCAAATAATTCATTAAAGTCCTCTCCATTTTCAGCAAGTAGAGGTAGAAAATCTATTACGATCATGTTTGTGGTAGCATCATTTTTTCCACCGGGCTGCTCACCTTGTGTTTTGCAGGGAACGTACAAGAAAAAGTTTCAATTTAAGATTTTCTCGAATGTGACGGAATTCAGCCTTTAATCGCTTAAAATGATATAATAAATCTGACGTCAATTAAGACACAAAACACCAGTTCAGTTTCGCGCTATTTTATTCATTTATTTATTAAGGTCTTCCGTTTCCAACGGAAGACCTTCTACTGATTCTGTTGTTTCTTTTCCACTATTATTATTTTTTTTTTCTTACCGATTTTGTGCAGACGATTTCTCGAGAACGCCTCGATAGATTTTCACGAAACTTTCAGCAATGATGGCAAATTATCTGAACTTTATGCGTTTTTTTTCATTTTGTCGTCATCACTTCCGGTCGTGAGATATAGCCAATTTTCCATTTTTAAAATGGCATTTTGTCCGCGAGTGTTCTCAAAAACGGTTAAAGATTGAGTCTTGAAACTTCCAGGGATGATAGATTGTGACTCGTAGATTTGAGAAACCTGTATGGCTTTTGTTGCCGTGACGTCCGTTGTCCACCGGAAGTAATTTAAAGATATGCAAATTTTCATTTTTTTCTTATTGAAATGTTTTTAATAGAGGCAAATAGACTGTTTCGAGTCATATTATTTCCACCGGAAGTTATTTCTTCCGAACCTGAAGTAGTCGAAAAAATGCTCATTTTTCCTCGAAACTTTAAGGGATGATTCCTCCACACTCAGTGAAGAGTTAAAAGTCCTTTTGACTACTTCCGGTCATACCGGAAGTGAATAAAAAAGACCAGAAGTTGTTTGAAATTGATAGATTTCACTCTTTTATGAGTTGCTGAACAATTCTGAAGAATTGATATGAATTTTTTTTACATTTAAAGTTGTTTTACTTTCTTTTATCAATCAAAATTTCCCAATCAAGATTTTATCAGAAATCTAACGGAAGACCTACTCGTTGCTCGCAACGAGATCTCATCTAGTTTTATTTTTATTTATTTTTTTTTTTTATTATTATTATTATTATTTTTATTTTTATTTTTTTTTTTTTTTTTGGCTTTTTCATCGTGATCCTTTTTAAAATATTTTCATACTGCAGATTAAGAAGTTATGTTTGACGATCAACACGCAAAAAATTTCTCACTGAAAACAATGAAGTAAGAAAAGTTTTAAACTTTACCCTTACGCGAGTTTTACTCAAACACACTGATGCATTTAGAAATAAATAAGTTGAATCCGATTTTATTAACTTAAGTTTTACTTTACTATAATGCTGCAAATTTTTAACAAATATCCGAGTAAAAAATATTTAGTCAATAATTGATGTGACCGAACAACAAGTTTAAAATACAAAATGAAGGACTGGGACAGTTTTGTTGGTAGCTTACCTGACATTTGTATAACTGCCTGAAGAGCCTAACATGGCAAAAGCTCTTGCAGTAAATATTTGTGATTATATATATATATATATATATATATATATATATATATATATATATATATATATATATATATATATAATAAAGATTTCATAGAAGATGGCACTTTAATCCATAACGCTTTCGCCTCTTGGCTCTTCAGTGGATTTTGAATATTGACAATAACAATAGCAACATGACATAATAACGTCGTTATTAAGACGGACGTCATAGTTAAAAGTTATCTTTACTATGACGTCATAATAACGACGTTATTATGTCATGTTGCTATTGTTATTGTCAATATTCAAAATCCACTGAAGAGCCAAGAGGCGAAAGCGTTATGGATTAAAGTGCCATTTTCTATGAAACCTTTATTATTTTTCTGTATTACTACCTATACTTAGTACTTCTTTAATTTTAATATATATATATACAGTACCAACCAGAGCCAACCTGACAGATAGCAGTCCCAGAGCAGTCCCACAGCGGTCCCAGCAGTCCCTGCGGTCACAGAAAGCAGTCCCAGCAGTCCCAGCTGTCCCAGTAGGCGGGGTTTTTAAATTAATGGGTGGAGCTTAGTCATAACTGAGATTACACAGTGTATCAACAAACAATGTCAGTAATAAAAAGGCAGCTGAAATTTAATAATGCACTTCCTTTTTTTTTAGGAGAAATAAGTGTTAGATATGTTACATGTACAGCATATTTACAATTCTTATGTGACAATTATTTCTGAATAATTAATTGCAGTATATACAAGAAAAAAAATAATTATATTTAAAAAAGAGACTTTCACACTCAAACTGTAATTACATATGTAATATATTTATTTGAAACCAAATTAAACTATTGTTTGTTAAATTTTATTTATTGACAATGGTTACTGCATATATTTTTTTCCAGAAAATTAATTATGTGCTTAATAAAATGAATGGCTTATTTTTAGACTAGAATTCAATGACTTTGAAATACATGTAGATCCTACAACTATAGATCAAGGCCGATTCCCATATCACTCCGTATTATGTTTATCATTGACGTTTCATTGAAGCTTCAGAAAAAATACATGTGTAACATGAATTTGATGACAGCTAATTCTTTATCAAAGTTTGCTAACAAATATATTCTGGCTATCATTTTCATTGACTTGTCGATATAATTATTGTAAGAATCTTTACGCAACGTAAAACAATTTCACTAAAATATTTCCTGAGCCCGTACATCAATGTGCATGTACATGTAATTCAGGCAAGTGACTATATCTCAGATATTAAAGAAATTAAATAATCCTGAAATACATTTATACCATGTTTATAAAAACAAGAGTTTTGCAGTTTGAAAAACGAAATAAATGTCATTGTTGACCAGTATGGTCAGTGATGTGTAACTCTGATACCCAAATAACACGCGTGAACTGTCTGCTATTCATGCCCAAAGGCGATTGAAAACTTAGCCAGGTGTTTACACATTTTATACACTGTGTACGGCTTTTAATCGGCCAGACTATGCAGTTGTTACGTGCATCTTGTTTTTCTTCAAATGTAAGAAATAAAACACAGATTTCGATAATTTTAGCCATATTTATTTTAAAAATAATTTTATATATTTATTAAAACTTTTTCATAAGTTAAAAATAAATCCGGGATCAGGGAGAAAAATCAACGAATAATTGTTCACGTTGTTTATATGACGGGAGATTATTTCATAGAAAAAAGACTGTTCTTGTTGAAATTAATTAATAGGTTTTATTTTCAAGCGGTAAAAAAAAAACTGCATTGATTTTTTTTCTTTTTTTCCGTGATAGCTACCTTTACAGTCTAAAAATAATTACTTTTCAGTGCAGCATATACATGTATATAAAGCTTTGAATTTAAAAAAAAAAATTAATGCCGTGATTGTGTCCTCCTTTAGGACATAGAATAATATAAACTTTAAGTACATAATTTAACAGCTTTTATTAATTATATAAATCATTTAGTTTCAAACACCTGCATTTACGTTAAAAATACGGATAAAAAAATCTTTTCTGACTTCGGTTTTTTAAACTGGCAAAACAACTTTTTATTATTACCAACAATTAATTAATTTTTTAATTGATTTTACACTGCAATGGTGCGAAATCGACGGTTGACGTACATGTATACACGTATCTTTCATTAGCTAACAGTATTTGTTAATTTTTTTGGAAAAATTCTTGTTGATTTATTTTCTTTTACAACTTCTCTGTTGAAAGTTAACAAAACTTCTGTACAAAATGAAACCTGCAAATTCAGAATACACAAGGGGCGGGGCTTTCTAGTCACTCAGAATCATTTTCACGCACAGCAGTCCAAGAGCAGTCCCACAGCGGTCCCAGAGCAGTCCCAAAGCAGTCCCGGGGACTGCTTTCTGGGACTGCTTGGGTGTCAGATTTGGTCTGGTTGGTACTGTATATATATATATATATATATATATATATATATATATATATATATATATATATATATATATATATATATATATATATATATATACATATCTCATATCTGTATCTATATATATAGAGAGAGAGAGAGCTCAAAAACATTCTCACCTAGCATGGTTTAGTGAATTAATTAAATGCACTATTTAGAAGTATTTGTATGTCACAAAGACGCGAAACGCAAAAAAAGTATTAAGATTATTATTCATAACTCAGTTGCTCCTCTATTTGCACGAGTAACAAACTTAATGCAGTTAGGCATGTCATGAACTAAGTTTTCAGAGAACATGTCTTTGGAATTGAGCACTGTTTTCGCTAGAGTGCTTTCCACATATCTTTTAATTTGATTTATAAGTTGTTAGCATGTTTTGAATAAGGGCTGATCATCCTCATTTGCCCTAAATGTTTTTTCAGGGTTTGAATCAAAACTGTTTTCCAGGACAAGGAAAGTGTAGAAAATACATTTCGTTTGATATACCCTCTTGTGCTTTCTAAATAATGGCACGATGCAACATAATACATACAGTTCTTTTTGTGGGGAATAGTAAATAAGTACACATAGTACCAACATCTTTCAGTATCTTCTGATGAGCCCAAGAGGGGTTCTCAAACGTAATGCATTTTCAGTATTAACACAGCCTTGATACAATCGCGATGAAACTCAATCTACAGGAATTCAGGGGAATTCTAGGCTGGGATATGATAATTATATTTGAAAAAAACGTGTGAACATGTAAACGGCTAAAAAAGACATGTGGAAGATACTTCAGCAAGAATGATACTATTTTCGAAAAACTATCTGTGAAAACTGACTTAATAACATGCATATATATATATATATATATATATATATATATATATATATATATATATATATATATATATATATATATATATCATACGTGTGTTGGATACTATCCATAAGATAAATCTATGCTTTATTAATAGTACTACCGTTTTTGACACAATCTCTCGCTTCAAGATTTAAATTTATAGAAATTTCTATTTGTGAAAGTTTTGTATTATCAAATAAATGCTAATGAGCAAAAATGTTCGTTAAAAACAAGGAAAGACTCGTTTTAACAATGCATTCTTACATTATTCTATAAAACTTACCATGGTTCTACAAGTATCCTAGCACTGTCACCGTACACAGAATGATTTCAGAGTAGGATTCATGATTTCTCGGTCCTTACAACACTGAACAATTTTCAGTCAAAAGTTTGTCTAAAACGAATCTCCAACAGATTGCCACATATGCTTTAAGGGACGCAGCAGATATCATTCCAAGATTTCATATTTTGTTTCTACGAATAACTTTCTTTCAGCATGTCAACGTCAGCAGTGCGACGTCACCAATTTGCTCGTCATCATTTGGGTATAAATAAAACAACATAGTTCCATACGGTTTATCTCAAAGTTTTGTTAAAAAACGAAAATCGTATGAGATAAATAGAACATCTATAATTGTGTGACTTGATATTGCTTTCTCCAACGAGTTGAAATCAATTCACACAATATAGATATCCTATATATATATATATATATATATATATATATATATATATATATATATATATATATATATATATATATATATATATATATATATATATATATATATATAAGGGTTGTCAAAACCATAACTGGTTACTCGCCTGTCTTTCTGATCGAGTACTCGGGTACTCAGCCATTATTCGAGAGAAAAGAATTAAAATATAAACATATGTACATGTATCTTCACTATCGTATTTTGTTCTTTGTCACTGATAGATTTTATGATCTAAATACCAACAGAAAAAGATAAAATCCCAATAATTTTAATACATATAAGAATATAAAGCTATGATAAACATTAGTTTTCTTGTAAGGGAAGTTTGGAGTGATTATCAATATATCAAATAAAGGTTAATATCATTCATGAATTTCAATGTTGAACAATCATGTTCTCAACTTTTCACAGCTGCGCATAATCGAAGTATCTTGCCTATCATCGATCGGATTGTGTGTCTTGTAAATTTGTGCTTCGCAGAGAATTAAAATGTTTTAAAGCAACTGTTTTTCGCTCTTACTTTGATGTCACTTTGCTCGATACGTTAATGATTTAACATATCGTTTGGCCATATCAAATAAGTAAATTTTGTTTCACAAAGTTAAGATTTTATACATTCGTTTAAAATATTTCCAGGTTCACATTGTTAGAAGAAGGAAGCAAATTTAATACTAAGCTACATGCAGTAATAAATGTGTATGCTTTTTTACTGAATGAATTTGATTTATATGTGAATTCCAATTATGACGTGTCCCTGGCCATAAACAAAAACAATGCGACGCCACTGACCAAGGAAATAATGAGTTTAATTGTTGTCAAAACCTAACAGAGTCTAAGTTCAACGCTATGTAATTAAAATAACGGTACAATAAACCCGAAAATTAGAATGTGCTTGACAAATAACGATGGAAATAAGAAGTTTTTATAGCTTTATTTTTTTTCCAATGTAATAAATGATTCAGAAATAAATTGTAGAAATTAATCATAAAAGATGGATATGTCTGAAACTACAATTCAACATTGCAAATATAGTGTCAGTAGCATATAATGAATGTACATGTATCACCAATCCAGATCCTCTTACCCCCTTCTTTCCAGTTTTCTGGTATTCCTTATAACAAAACTAAACTTCATTGTACAGCTTGTTTTCACCTTTGAAATGTTTTTAAGGTTATTAATTACTCCAAGAACAAAATGAACTTGTTTTGGTCCTTTTGTAAACACTGCTGGTATTACAATGAAACATGTTGTTTTAACAAATTGACTCTTGACATATGTGTGCTCCTGTTTTGAGAGTTTTTTACATTGTATCTAAGTTACAGATGTATAGGACTCGTCTTAGGTATGACATTTACGCCACACTCTTTTTCAATTTCTTAGATCTTTCGTCAATTACATAAAAGAAAGGTATGATTCGAATAATGAAACATGTACCTATATTTCTTAAAATGTCCCAGTAAATATCAGTGATTCTGGGGACTTTCCAGTATTTCCTACTGTCTGGGAAATACGAGTATTTCTTACAGGATGAAACTATGTCATTCAGTTAACTAAATTAGTTACTAAGACTTTTTTATCTTTATAGGCAAACTATTCCATATCACTAATCCCTACTTTTATGTAGGAGGTCCGCCAAACTTTAATTCATGGTTAACCTATGAATATTCAGTAGTAAGCAGTGTAACCAGGGGAAATCAACCATTAAAAATTTTCGCCAAAAGTCGGGTATTCAATGCAGGTAACTTATCATTATCATTATTACTTCTTTTAAAACAATTTCTTTTAAAACAATTTTATTTTGGTATTTTTATAATTTTTCTGAAGAAAATATGTTTTTGGGCCTATTTTGATTGTAAATGAAGAAAGTAATAAATTTCTAAAATATTAAGAATTTGTAAACTTTCTTTGATGTTCAAAATTCTACCTTTCTGCAACCCTCCTTAACTTATTAAACTATGCACTTTTTTCGCTTGAAATCACATTATTGTGAAACTGAATAAATATTTTAAAAATCTAAGCGATTAAACTTATGCATTTTACTCATGTAATCATGACTAAAATGGTTATTTTCAAAATTTTTGTTAAAAGTTTGTTTGTATCATCTGTCCTTGATACTCCTATTTCCTATCATATTTAACCAAAATTGTAGCAGAAGAAGTAGAATTAAAAGGTTCCTCGGTGTATTCTCGAAATGAAAAGATGTACATATAAGGATCGATCAGACCTAAGAGAATGGTTTGACTTCGAATCTCAATATGATCGCTCCATTTTGACTTGTTTATACTATATACATACGTGTACTTCTACTTGCCCGCTATTGATTTTAATGAATATTGTTAAAAAGAACATTTTTTTTAAAAAAAATTAATTATATATATAACTTGTTTTTTTAATTAAATACTATTCTCCCTGTAGTTTCTTCCTCTAATTCTCTAACGATTCTTTCCCGTAGAAACCAATTTCAGTTGGGGGGGGGGGGGGGCAAGCCAAAATAAATCCTTGTTAAGGATCTTGAAGTCGTTTTCATTGAGGGGACATGACAGTAAATTAGGGGTGTTGTAAATTCTACAGTATACATTTAGAGAATTATTGGTTCCTAGGTCTGTTTCAAATCCGATGCTAATTTCAGAATATTAGAAACATCGACTAATTATTGGTCGGCCAATCAACATTTAGGACCTAAACACTTTCGCAAAATCTTCTTGACCATTTATCAAACATTTTAGAGAAGATTAAACCCACTAACAATTTTTTCCCGTATTTTATGGCTAGAAATCTTCCATATTCTAGAGTAACTATCTTATACTGTAATCCGTAAGTATAAATTGTAAATTAAGAAAGATGATAAAATAAGGTGGATTTTGGAATATAGGAGACGGTTCCTTTGAGGACATATGTGACACTGAGCATAACAACTTCTTAACGAATCATTTGTACACTTGATTCAATTTGACTGCCGTCTCACTAAAACGAAAACAGGGAATAAGATTGACGTTAACCAGACAAATTCACTTTTTATTCCTTAAAATGAATATAAATGCTTTAATTGTTTACTCTTTAGATCTTTACAGTGATTTGATTGCTAAAACCTTTAGGGATGATTTACGCGTTCAGACATGGCAATCAACTAAAATATGCATCAAACAGGTTTGTATTACTTCTAACAAGTTGGTTAAAACACATACATTTTTATATACGATAACTTTTGAGAGAAAAAACAAATCTAAATTTTCTTTTGATTTTTAAAGCGTACTTGAATAAAAGCTAGAAAATAAAATAAAACCCTTCAAACACTTTGTTCTCAGGAGTTAAATCGTACAATCGAGTACGTCGGCTGCATTTTTTTTTTAATTAACCGATGTCGCTAATAATGAGCAGTAACACAAGGAGCTCCTTCTGCTAATTCTTGACACTCTAGAAAGGTTTTGAAGTCATATTCTAAAACTAGCTCATTCTCATAGATAAACGCTTCTTATCTAATCTCTGTTTTAGATTTCTCGTATTGGATCGATGCAGTTTTATGATGGATTTAAATTTAGATCAACAGTAGATCATTCGAAGTGGGCAGTAACCGAGAATCTAAATTGGATATGTATTGCAGACTTAAATATAAGAGTAAGTATAAATTATTGTATATTTCAGGAAAAAAAAAACTCAGCAAATGTTTGATCACTTTAGAATAGTTGATAAGATAAACATATAAATATATGTAGCTATCTACAGTGATTTGTTATATAACAAAAGTGGGCGAATAAGAATTTCTTTTTTATAACGTTAAGACTGAACACGACTCGTCAATAGGCATACAGTGTATGCCTTATGAGTTGTCCTTTCTCCGATATCAGTACTGAGGAATCCCTTTTGCATTCGTTACACATGACTATTTTCTTGTCACTGGTACCTACGTGGAATGGAAGACACGTGTTCGTGATGGTTATTTTACAATACCTTAGTTTACATTTTATTGCAGTTTACATGTATTTGTGTTTGTTTGTACTAAACTGATATGTGCAGCTGATGTAAGTTTCTTTGGTAACTTTCTCTCCTGCCGTTGAAGATGCATGTAATTACTTTTGTCGCAACCGAGTGGTTTACAATACCTATGTAGAATATGCTCGTCCACACAGGTGAAAACAGATTACACCGTGACCAAGTGAACGGCTTACAATGTCTATAGGGACTGTACAGGTAACGACAAATGAAGAGTAATATGGCGGACAAACATAGATCTCTGCCTTTTACGTGTCGTTTTCTGCTTTAAACACTAACGATGAGCATCGACTCGAACAAAAAAAAATGTCAAATTTCCGAGATTACATGAAACATGTAAGCTCGAAAATCCGTTGAAAAAAAGAAACAAAATCAAACAAGCGAAGGAATAAACAATATTGTATATATATATATATATATATATATATATATATATATATATATATATATATATATATATATATATATATAGATATAGATATATATATATATATATATAACTGGGGGGGGGGGGTGAATTAAAAAATAGTTTTTAACCCTTGATTGAATGCTTTTGCAAATCATTTTCAGAAATCGCAATATGGAAGAGGTGGGCTAGCAGTGTGTCTGAACCACAAAGATCTTGCAAATGAATTCAGATCCATCGCCTGGAATACAATCCCCTGCAAGGAGATTCCTTTAGGAGTGTGTCCGTCTTATGGTTAAAAAACATTCTTTTACTGTTTTTGAATACTAATATATTGTCATCCTCTTTCTGAGGATCTTCTCAGTATTTCAGTTGGAATACTTCATCGTTATATGTGCCGTGTTTTCCGTAAAAAAAATTACATTGTATTTCTATGACTTTTAATTGATTTCACATGTACAAATGATAAGAATATATTTGACTGTCGTCATGAGAAAAGGGCCCTTATCTTTTGACGTCACAATGCGCAGAAAACGACGTCAAAGTCGCGGTAGTGTAAACACGGAAGTAGTTTCTGTCGACTACGTTTTGTGAACACGAAATGAAATTGGATTTCCAGGTGTTACAAGAAAATTATTAAATCATATGAAATATGATGCGGAAAGTTTTAATAAATAAAATAATTACACACTAGTTCATGCATTTGTTAATTATTCTGTTTAAGCATATATCACATAATTAAGCTAAACGCGACATTGAACGCATTGTTAATTACGACGATTTATGGCGATGTGTATATATGATGCGTGGCTAAAGATACGGTATATGTGTTTTCTGAGCAATTTGCAAGTTTAAATTTGACTCATATTCAGTAGACTAAGTCTTAATATTAAATGGTATTCTACATACACGTATATTTTTTTCAGAGAGAGAGAGAGAGAGAGAGAGAGAGAGAGAGAGATCAATGCACATATACATAAAAAGAAATACCTTCGTGTAAAATGTACGAGGGCTGTTCCGAAATTATTGGGACGTTTACTTTTACTCCATAAAGGACAGAGATAAATTCATGAAAATTCGTCAACATTACATAAAGAACGAATAAAACAAATGTGCAAAATTTCTTATTTATAGGATAATTAGACAAGTTCCCGTGAAATTATAAGCATGCATATGTCTATCTGGAGCTACGTCATTTTAACGTCGAGTCAGCCGGAAATGTTTTCGCATTTGTGAAACGATCGGGAAGCGTTTACTCTTCTTTCTCTGTTATCACATATAAAATTCTAAAAGTCAAATGTCTCTTTTCTTAAACGATTCTTTAAAAAAAAAAAAAAAATAAAATGTGTGCTCTTGCTACTCCAGTGTAAAATAAATTACATGACGTGTTATATACAGGTTGACTAGTGCGTCGTGCAGTACCGATTTATGCAACGCGGATCAACGTTATTTAGTCCGTAATAATTGATGGTCATCCGAAGCTTTTGTTTTTACTCTGGTTGAATTATATGTAAGAAAAAAAATATATACCAATGAAAAAATAGAACCTTTAGACATGGTTTTTTTTTCTCATTGTTATTGTTTTAGCAGGTCGTTTAGTCTGGAAAAGAATTAGCGCTACACAAAATTTTATGCATGTCCGCTGCGCCGCCTTGACGTCAAAATCCATTTTGTCGTCGTTCTCAGATTTCTATGTCGCGCTTGAATTTATTTATGATCTCCGTATTTCTGAACGAAATTCTAATAAACTTGCACAAAATGAAGTCAAAATAAAATTGAAAAATTATATACATAAATTGAATTATTATCGCTCTTACTGTGTGTCCACAGGGAGTTTGAACGTTGGTGTTACATATTTTCAATAACTCATTTCGTGACTGCGCCGGGTACCCCTACCATTGATACATTAATATACATGTACCATTGAAAAGAAGAAATAAAATATTTGTTAAATATTTTTTGCTTTTATGAATTCTGAGTGTTTGTTAAACGTATATCAAATTTTCACTGAAAGACGTTCATTACAAAGAAGAATATACACAATGTCTCAATAATTTCCAAACAGCCCTCGTATTTAGTCATTTTAATTTTGATTCCTAGTTAATCATATCGATATGCGCAGTTAGACCACCTCAGGGAGAAGCGTCGATATCCAAATGTGTGTTTGAGGGAGAAGGGGGGGGGGGGCAGAGATCATTGAAAAGCAAAGAAAAAAAAAGAAAAAATGAATGCGAATGAAAAAGCATGAATCGGTAAAAGTTCAATCTAAAAAAGAGAACCTATCTTTTTTTTTTTTTTTGGGGGGGGGGGGGTATAGATACTGGTATCATGGGAGATTCGAACCTCCTACTAAAACAACGAATGAGAGAGGGGGGTCAAACGACCATTATATATATATAATTCTTTGCTAAATTAACATCAAGAGAATATGCTAAAGGGAAAAACGGAAGAGGGGGATGCCACGGAAATTTTGCAAAAAATAAATTGTGATAAAAAAAAAACATTTTGAAATGATCATATAAATACATTTTTAAAAAGTAGTGTCTGATACAAAATACTATCGTATGAATTTTCTTAAATTGTTCCGATAAAAGCTGACTTGAAATTTATTGCAATATGTTTAAGAAATAAATGCAGCTAATGTGGACTTTTTCCAAAAGCATTATGATCAATGCTGAAGAAAATAACAATTACATCGACGGTGATATTAGGATTAAAATATTTATGAAACAGAAGAAACAACAGATTAAACAATAGATTAGGCTGTCAAGAAATTACAAACGTCTGACAAATGTTGAAATGGCGACATCTTTTGAGAATAAATCACTGATAGATTAGTAACAAGTGTTTATGGGTGTCATATTCAAATGTTAAGAAAATGTTCAAAAATATCAACAACAAGTCGTAAGACAACAAAAACAATCAAGAAATCTTCATTTTGAGAAAGATGAAAAGAAATTAACACTGATGATGTTTCGAGCGAACTGCTGAATTCATGTACATTTGTATGTAATAAATTAGTCACATTTCGTGTGGAAATCTTGGACGTCGAGTCCCAGCTCTGATATCTCGATGCCCGGATATCTCAACATTTTTTTGAAAGTTCCGTTGATGTCGGGATACTGAAGGAAGAGGATTAAACAAGCACATACATCTTTCTGATTTTAAAGAAAAAAAATATTGTTATTTCAGTGGTGTGGTTACAGGCAAAAATAAGAGTCATGTTCTTTAATTTCGAGATTTTGACAAATTGTTATTTTTTGAAACAATAACTAGGAAGAAATGGTTTGTATAATTTATCTTTAGATTTCAAGACAAAATCAGATACTAAGTCGCCTATGAAGGTCAAGTTAGAGTGGTAGAGTTAAAAACATTCAATGGGATATTACTAAACCGAATCGCCTCATATACAAAAAAGTATAAACATGTGTGTTGGACGTAATATTTAATTCTTGTTTAAGAATATAATTTTATGTACATTTCATCGCACCGAAATATATGAAAGCTTAGGTGTCAGGTTAGCTGATACCACAGAGGAAGATGATCAGAGGACCTTAATTATGTTAAAATACATATATTCAAGCAGGACCGTAGCAACAGTTTCAAAAGTTGGGGGGGGGGGGCTTCCTCCAAAAATATGGCAAGCAAAAAAAAAAAAAATAAATAAATACCTACACTGACTCAAGAGTGTGGTGTTAGGGGGGGGGGACTTCTTAAAATAATCTGACAAGCAGAAAAAAGGAAAACCTTATCTGTAAAAATCTTGGAATTTGCCAGTGCTCCACATTACAACAAAAATCAAAATTGGGGGGGGGGGAGCACCTATAAAAGGAAAATTTGCTATAGCAAATTACTATACTCAGAAAAAGTGGGGGCAGGCCCCCTCTGCCCCCCCCCCCTTCATTCTAAGGGCTGTTAAGTCTCGCAAGATACTCGGTTTCAATTTCTAATAGATTTCATAAAAAATGTAATGCAACCATATTTCATTTCGCTCAGAAAAGTCTGTTTAGTATGAGTATATATTTGAGCAGTACAAGCATCTCTTTGATCAAATTATACAATATATACGTAAACGATAATGTTTGATTGGTTGTGTTGGTTTAAATTAACGGCCCTTTTAAGAAATGATGAACGATAATTGATGTGTTCAAGTGATAAAGCAGTAGCGTCGAGGGCACAGCTGCCTCAAAATAAAACAAAAGTATAGAAATATTTATAACCGCTTTTGATTAAGTGTGATTTACTTAAAAAAGTAAGAAGTTGACAAAAAATTTAAACTTTCATGTACTGAATAAACGTTCCTAAAGCAATCCTTGACATCATTATGTGCCTCTGTGAAAATATATTTTTTTTTATATCGGGATCGATGTCCTCTTTTGCGAGGGGATGCCCCGCTTTAATTGAACGAGGTGCCCCTCTGGGAAATCTATATAGATTTTTTTAAATATATATTTTAATATTACAAGTACTTTATATCTTTTATAAAATGAGCTAGAGTATTAATTATAAAAAAATACACTGTTGGGAATTCAACAAGAATTAATTTTTCGATTGAATAGAAACCGTTCCTAGATCCTGTCTAGACCCCCACTCCTCCCTTTACAAGACTACTAAATCTGCTCTAATACAGTATGAAAATAGTATGCGACTTCCCTCATGAATAATCACATAATAGTTGTTTGGAAAAAAAAAAAATTCTCAAGTTTATATGTGTCAAAACGATAAAGGTTATTTTAAAAAATGTAGTTTTAAAGAATGTTTGACGCATGCGACGTCATTACGTATTCAGTAAATAACGTCAACGTTGTTTTGAAACGGCCTCACTAAAATGCTCATAAAATACTAAAAACGTGAGATATTTTAAAAATTGATGTATATTTGTATTCAGAAAGAGTCAGGCTATCAAAATTTATCAAAAAGTCAATTTGTGAAATTTTGACCTTAAGGGCCCTTTTCTCATGACGGCAGTCATTTTATTTTTGATATATATGTATATCAATTTAAAAAAAAAATAGTGTATGTACTTCCAGTACATGTATTTGTGCTAGGAATATATCTTTGCAGTGCTTTATAATTGCTCAATTTCTTATCATTTAAAGTTTGCAACCAAAACAAGAAAAGTTTTTCTAAGATGAAAAAGCAAACAAAAAAAAAAACTTAATATAAAATTCTAGCAATGCACAAGAAACCCATACGCTTTATGGTCTCTGCTGACATTAAATCTGCCCAATTGAGACTAAAACTCTCGACTCATTTGTCAAGGAGATTTACAATTAAATAGGGAGTCTATACATATTATCACATTGTACGAAACTTGATCCACTGGTTATCTGTAATATAAAAGACAAGTATAGTTATCATAAGGTCTGTGACATGAATTTTTAATACAGTAAATAAAGGTGTCACATTTTATTTCAACATACATATTGTCTGCTCAAAGTGAAGGAGTATGAAACATTTTAGAAAGTGCTGTAAATATATTATACAATTATAAATAATTATCCCTTTTGAAGTCAACATGATGAAATAAGGACCCGAGACCTGCAGAATGAAAGCCTGGCGCAGAATTTTACCGTAAAGAAGAGCCGAGTCTGCATTCCCTGGAATTGAATTGTAACGAAAT